TTATAAAGTAGCAGGATTACCTCACTATTTGGGCTCAATATTGCTCTTTTCATACGACCTAGCATCTGGCTTTCCTTACCCACTGCTACCGAGCACTGTTGGTCAATTTATTATAAATCAGAATCAGTCAGACTTCCCAGTTCCTTTTCATTTTCTGTCCAGGTTATTTTCTTCCCATTTAAATAATAGTGTCTTCCTGGATTTTTTATCCCCATGTGAAGCACTTTGCATTTTCTTACATTCAACGTTATCTACCATTGGTCTGCCCAATTACCAAGTCCTCCTGTAACCTATCCTGTTTAGATTTGCATTCTACCACCTTCATTTGTTTTGTATCATCTGCAAATTTAGCTACTGTGCTTGTGAATCCCAGCTCCAGATCATTTATGAAGATATTAAACAAAAGAGGTCCCCAAACAGACCCCTGTGGAACTCCACTTGTAACATTCTCCCAGCCTGATGACATTCCCTGTACCACTACCTTCTGGGTTCTAGCGGTCAGTATCCATTGTAAGATACTTCCACTGATTCCCGCATTCTTTATTTATTCCCGATACAGTCCTAAACAGTTTATATCCTTCCAGATATGTATCCCATTGATTGGAATCATCCCAACATTGTCTCTGTGATACAAATGATGTCCAATATTTTGCCGCATGCAAGCATAGCGTATTTGTCAGTCACAACTCCATTGTCTTTGGCATTTCCCATATACTTTATCAGCATTTTTAGTTTATTTATCTCCCACTATTGGAGTTAGACCTATTATACTTTTGGTTATGTTTTCACTGGTACAACTTAAAGTTTTCCCTAATTGTTTTAGGCCCTCTCCTACACTTACTGCAACCACCCAGATATCTAATTTTAATACTCGCTTACCATACTATCTATTCTGAATGTTTGGGTGGAACCCATCCAGTCTATGTTAGGTACCTCATATTCCAAAATATGTTTGAGGAACTGAAAGCCTTAGCCACGCGTTTGTCTGCTTAATTGCCCTCTTCTCTCCTCATTATCACGTGATACGGGTAGTATTTCAGGAAATACAACAATGAGGAATTTCCCTAAAGCTTTATTCCTAATGCCCTAAACTTAGCATGAAGGACTCTGGTCTACTACTATCTTCAATAATAATAATAATAATAATAATCCTTGCATTTGATATAGTGCCTTATCTTGTCTTTGATAAATGTGCAATGCTGCTTCATTACTGTTACAGTGTAACTAAAATTGTACCAGACTTCTTTACAGTTCATATAATGAATATCATAATAATAATTGATGTATTTGATATAAGAATATATAATATTAACATAGCACCTTATCACGTCTTGAGAGGTCTCAAAGCACTTTGTAGAATATACTGTAAAGTGAATTGACTGTATATTTTGTGGACGAAACGCAACAGCCAATTGCACACAGCAGTGTCCCACAAACAGTCGTGAATTGAGTGACCAAATTATTTTTATTTATTTTGAAGGAATTGGAAAAGTGATCCGCCAATTGTCTAACAACTGGGTTCCTACTTAATGCTAGGTAAACAAAGGCATGTGGAGTAACAAAACTTGCTCAACGTTTGCCCTGTCAGGAAGCAAATCCAGGTCTTCTTACTTGTGAGGCGAGTACTCAAACCACTGAGCTATGGGACTCCATCAACAATAAATTACATTTGTATAGCACCTTTCACATTGGGATGACATCCCAAGGCACTGTATAGTCAGGGATTTGGACTTGAGCAGTGGTTGGGATCAGGAGGGATGGTGGAGAGAGGGTAAGGGTAGGAGGGTGGCCAAAGAGGAAAGTTGTGAGACATGCCTTGAAGGAGATAAGGGAAGGAGCAAGGCAAAGGGACCCTGGGATGGAGTTCCATGGGGTGGTGGCAAAAAGGCTGAAGGCTCAATCGGGCCAGAGCCTGTTGAGCAGAGGGACAGGTTGATATGGGGTTAGCAGGTTGCAGAGGTGGGAAGGAACAAGGCCTTGGAGGATTTTGAATTCTATCCTCTGGGGGATGGGGAGTCAGTGGAAACTGGTGGTGGGGAGCAGTGGGGGGATGTTAGGGTCATGGAGCCTGGTGCAGGAGAGGACATGTGCTGCAGAGTTCTGGATGATCTGCAGCTAGCGGAGGGAAGAGTTGGGATGGCTGACAAAGCAGGAGAGTTGACACAGTCGAGCTGAGATGTAACAAGTGCGTGGATGATGGTTTCGGCAGCCTGAGGGGAGAGGCAATAGTGGAGATGGGCAATGTTGTGGAGGTGGGGGAAGGCAAAGCAGGTCGAGGCATTGATGTGGGGTATAAAGGATAGTTTAGGGTCAACAAGACTTCGTAGGGGTATAAAGGATGGTTGAAAGTCAAAAAAGGTTCTGGACTGGCTCAGTGAGGTGGAGTGTGCAACCATGGATGGTGATGCTGTCAGCGCCTGAGGTGAGGAGGCTCTGACAGGGGCCAATCAGGAGAGCCTCGGTCTTGTTGACATTCAACTGAAGAAAGTTAGCTCTCATCCAGGACTTGATGTCTGACAGATATTCTGTCAGGATAGCATTGGTCCTGGAGTTGAAGGTGGAGGAGGAAAGGTACAGTTGGGTGTTATTCGCATACATGTGGAAGTTGACCCCATGTCTGTGGATGATGTCACCAAGAGGGAGCATGTACGTGTTGAAGAAGAGAGGACCAAGGACAGAGCCCTGAGGAATGCCACATAAGATGGTGCAGGGGTTGGAGGAGAAGCTGTTTGTGGACACAAAAGTGGAGACAGTGTGAAAGGTAGGATCTGAAGCAGTCAAGACAGGGATCAGAGTGTGAGGGGGAGATGGGGAGGGGTTATCGGTTGGAAGGGCAGGGGCAGCCGAGCAGATCCCCTCTATTTTGGTCTCGAGGAGGACCAGTATCTCCTTGCAGTTGGAGATGGAGGAGAGGATGAGTGAGGAATGAGAGGTTTGGTGGAGGAGCCGGTTGGTGATGGAGAAGAGGAGCTTGGGTTGTCCTTGGCCTCCAAGATTGTCTTGGAGTAGAAGGATAATTTGGTGGAAGTGAGGGCGGAGCAGTAAGTTTTGATGTGGTCCAGCCAGTTCTGCTGACGGACCATTAGATTTGAGCCAGATGCATTCGGCGGCACGTACCTGTGCCTTGAGGGAGTGGTGGTGGCTGGTGTACCAGGGAGACTTACATGAGTAGGAGGCAGTTCGGGAGGTGAGGGGGCAAAGGCATTGAGAGTGGTGGGGAGGGAGTTATGGAGGAAAGTGACTGAGGATGATAGGTCATTGTGGGAGGAAGCTCAGATAGGGAAGATTTCAGGTGACTCCAGGGCAGCAGAGAGGGAGGGGGTGTGCAGATTTTTTTCCAGGATGATAAGAGACAGAGGAGGGTTGGGTGGCAGGGGCAGTGATAGAGGAGTTAAGGGAGATTAAGTAATGGCCCAAGATGGCTTTGTCAGTAATAATGATTTCCAAGATGCTGAGGCCCTGGGTATCACCAAATCTTGCAGGTGACCATAGATGTGGGTAGCAGAGTGGATGTGGAGGGTGAGATTGTGAGAGGAAAGGAAGGAGAAGTCAGCAGAGATAGAGCAAGAGGGAGTGAAGTGCAGGTTGAAGTCGCCTAGGATGAAGAGGCGTTCAGAACAGAGGCAAAGGGAAGTTAGGGGTGGAGACGTCAGAGAAGAAGGTGAGGGAGGGTTTGGGAGAGTGATAAACAAGGAGGATTTTAAGGGAAAGATTGAAGGGATGGTAATAGAGGAGTTCCTTCATCTTCCTTCGGAACACCATAATCTTCCGAGATGGACTTAGTCAGGTCAGGTGCTCGATGGAGGGGAATGAACCTGAGGAGTAAGGGAATAGACCAAGTGAGGACTAGGCGATGAGGGCCACACCACGACATGGCAGATAGGTCATGGGGTATGGTGGAAGGTGTAGCCGGGTGGTGTGACCTTGATCAGGGGGAAGGTGTCACCTGGGGTGATCCAGGTTTCTGTGAGGGCCAGGATGTCGATGTTTCTATCAACAATGCGTTTATTGACGGCGAGGGCTTTTTTGGAGAGGGGGTGGACATTTTTGTATGGCATTACGGAGGTAACGGGTGGCAGAGAAATGTGTGAGATGGGAGGGGGAGGATTGACAGGGAGGGTGAGAATGTGGATGAGGGAGGAGAGGTTTTCCCCTGGGCTCTAGTGCCAGTGGGCCTTGTGGTGATAATGAGGGTTGGGGTGGTCAGTGTAGCTGCTGCCGGTCAGCCAACAGCGAGTGCCACAGTGAGCCTCATCTGGATGCCCAGGCTGGAGCTGAGGGAGGCTGCGGGACAGTCAAGTGGCGATAGGAGGCAAGGAGGACAGAGGGAGAGAAGGACCAAGGGAAAGTGATGGGGGGTGGAGGACAGGGATGGGGGCATTTTGAGGGAAAGTAGTTTGGGTTGGGGCCGGCAGCCAAGACGTGCACACAGAGACTGGAGGCGGAGTGGGGCATAGTCAGCTGCAGGCATAGAAGACAACGGGGGCAATGATGGGGACATGGGGGAGTTATTTATTAGTTTACGCTATTTTCTTTGTATTTTACAGTATCCAGAATATATCACATTGTTGAATTTAGTGTGAAGTTTGAAGCCAATTTTCTGCAGTTCTCAAAAGAACTTGAAAAAACTGACTTCCCAATGAATATCAATAATAATCCTTACATTTGGTATAGAGTCTTTTGTATCAGGAGGAGGTCCCAAAGTGCTTGTAAAATGGAGTGACTGTGTGTTTTTTGTTTGAATGCAGCAGCAAATTTGCATACAGCAATGTCCCACAAACAGCCATGAAGTGTATGATCTATTTTATTTGGTGAATTGTTGGCCAGTGGAACACTGGGAGAAACTCTCTTCACTTATAAATTAAAGTTGTTTTAAGAAATTCCAAAATTCTAGTCACTCTGAAATGTTAAGACAATTAAGTAAATATAGACACAGGTGGAATTACTACCTCAAAGTTCTCAGATTGCTTCAACATTTCCTTGTTTTGAACTTTCTCCAGCTTTAGGGCAGGGTTTAAGCGAGCTTTCCAGTGGTGTCCCTTCATTGAAGTTTCCAACTATGATGAACTAGAATTGCGTTCAACTAACTTTCACCCCACTAGAGAAAACAGCACCTTCACCATCTCTCGGCTAGAGTCCAGCATGACAGTGGAGTTTGAGACAGCTGAAAACGACAGCCAGGAGGTCTGCAGGAAAAAGAGTTCAGCTTTGCAGGATATGATTTTCAACGGATACTCTCCGAGTAATTCTAAAAACATTTCAAGAACCTCGAGCTTGTTTACCACTATAAATACATCTGTAGATGAGTACTCCTAGGTTCCTAAACTCATTATCAGATGAGCATTCTCAAGTTCATCAGTGCAATCTGGAAATGGGGGGTGGTGGGGGGGGGGAGATATATGATGCGATAATTGTCTCGTTCCTCCCATAGCTGACTATCCAACGCCTTGGTACGTCCTCCTGACGTGAAAGGCACTATACAAATGTAATTATGTTGTTGTAATTCCTTTGTAGCAAGCAAGTATTGAGATTAGAAAACAGAGTACCATTTTGCACTGGAGCCACTTGGAAGTGCTTCTGGAAATGGGAAGTCCCTTCTCCATGAGCAAAGTTATTACTGCCAGTTATGTGAATATCGTTCTCTTTAACTAGAAAGCAAGTATTTACCATTTTTTGTTGATTTGTTGAATGTAAACAATTTACTGACATTATATGTGATTATCGTGATGTTTGTACAAAAACACCCAATTGGTCTGTTTCAGCTAAATGTGTGATCCATTTGAATGTGGTCTGTGTATTATGTTTTACTCATTACCAAGTACAGTAGAACAATAATTGTGAGGATTAGTCGAATAGTGCCAGTTGCAAACCTTGTGTATTCTGAACTGCTGGTAACTGGGAGCTACTTTATTATATGTTTTAATTATTACTAGATTAGATGAAGTACTGATGTGCCTGTAGAAACTTGCAGTGATCCATCAAGTTAAGAGAAAAGGTTTCAGCAGAGCAACTTGAAATGCTAAGATTATAAATGTTAAATATGAGCTTCTGTGTATTGCAATAATATTGCTGCTCTCCTTGCTCTGATTGCACTGTTTCCTGGTGTTTACCTGTGGGTGAGTGGTATTAACAAAATGATATTATAAGCATTTGTGACAGAAGCAAATTGAATAATATAAGAACGGTTACTTCCCCAATTCCCCCATCAGCTCAAGCTCAAAGTCCTCACACTCGCCTTCAAATCCCTCCACAGTTCTCTGAAATCTCCTTCAATCACCTGCTTCATATTCTGCGTTCACTCCGCCCCTTCACTGGCAGGTGGATTTTCACCTAAGCCAATAGAAAAGTGCGGAGATTCTGGGGCATTTGACAAATTTAGCGGGGAAGTACAGAGAAATTTGATAAATTTTGCAGAAAATTGTGGAGGGTTGATTGGTTCTATTGAGAGACGCATTTTGTGAAAAAACCCAGATTGAAATTATAGGCATGTAGTTCTTGAACATGTAGTTATGTTTAAAACACTAAATCTTTTAATTTGAATAGTACAGCAGTTACCAAGAATTCACCGCAGGAGCTCAGTTTAGGCCGCAGGCACTGGGCGCAGCCAATTTCCCACTCTCGCCACTTCTGCCATCCCAATACTCCCCGCACCGTGCATGTCTGACCAGAGCTGCTCCACCCACAGTAGCAGCATCGAGCAACAACAACAACAACAACTTGCACTTATATAACGCCTTCCACTCAGGGTAGCATCTCAGAGCACTTAACAGTGGCGGAGCCTGACTGTGAGCTGGGGGGAGGAGGGAGGTGGCTGTAAGCACAGTCGAAGAGGAAAGTTTTCAAGCGGGATTTGAAAGAAGGGAGAGAAGGGCGGAGGAATTGAGGGAGAGTATTCCAGAGTGTTCCAGAGCAAATAGCACAAGAGACCCAGGGTCTAGTACAATGTGTATGTTTGTAGCAGAAAGGGGTGTTTTTAGCGGATTCTGTGGAAAAAGTGCACTTGCACTTTTCTATTAGCCCAGGTTTTCACCCATTTTGCTCCAGCTCTCTGGAATTCTATCGCTCAGGCTCCCTTCTCAGTCATCTTAATCTTTCCCCTTCTCAATCGCTCCGGCTTACCCTCCCCCCAGCTTGGATGCCCAGTGTTAAGCACTTCAATATTCCTCCCAACATGGAAAGCACCGCATAAATTTAAATGGTATTATATTGTATTTCAAGTTGATTGTTGTGCACTCCTCTGTTTCTTTGAGACTACAATACTTTATTGAGTCCTCAAATGGAATGGAGATCAATTAAAGTCAACTGGGATTAAACTAAACTAAACCTCGAATAATTTTTAAAAACCCTTTAGGTCCCAAACTATTCCTGCTGATGGTAATCCGTAATATTACAGTCCAAATTCTATAAATTGGAATCGGAAGACTAAACTAGCCTTAGGCGCATCATCAAGAGTGTTTCCATGGTTGCAGATTACATCTTCTATAGCATAAGAGTAAAACAGGAATCCTGTGGCTGATCCTCAGCTGCAGCTCAGACAGAGGTGTACATATGCAGTGAACCAATAACTTTGATTAGTGGAAGCAACATGTGTATCAGCTTCCATTTACCTTCAATATTTCCAGATAACTGATTCAGAGCAATTTATCGATGGGGTTCTAAAGACACAATTTTTAACAGGAATTGAAAAGAGAAACTGATGCTGATAATGGTGTACCACTCCGATCTACCGATTACCAGAATCCAACAGTTTAGTGTGACCCACACCACAGGTCAACGTTACTCACTGCCACTTACTGGAATCTCGCAAGAACAGTGTGACTCACCACAAAGAACTTGCACACTTTGCACTGCATTCCCTGAGTGATCAGATATTCTGAAAATTTGCTTTGCAATTGATTGTGTCTTTTTATGTCAAGTAATAAAGTAACAGGCAGCAGTAGACCTATGATTCACCGTCTTAGAAGATCTCTTTGACCTATCTGTCTCATCGACTAAAATTAATAAACTACTATTAATGTTCTATAACTCTCTCCCTCTAATTGTTCCTGTACTCTCTTTGTGAATAAACCTACAAACACTTTCCAACAGTACCTCAGTCATCAATTAAATACAGGTAGATATGGTTTACCTTAATGTTTGGATATGTTACTGTTTCAGTGTATGCTACATAGCGTTGGAGTCAAATCAGTCTGCAGCTTTGCACATACTACTATATCGTGCCAGACACCCGGCTGACACCCAAAAAATACTACATCAAACATTTCCTCAAAAGTTTAAGCAAAATAGCATTCATTCATTATAAACCGCTGTTGATGTGAATTAACAATAATAATAAATTATAAGTTATAATTCATATCCATAAGTGAATCAAGCTCAATTAATCAATTAATCGCCCTAAGTCCTGAAAATCTGTCTGTAGGACCTCAACACTACTCCTTCCAAAATGGTTCCAAAATGGACCACAACTTCTGTCTGTTCCCCTTTCCCCCCACAGAATTTTCTGCACCCAATCTGTGCTGAATACCAGTTAGTGTGACGATGCCTCCTGGAAGAGCAGTTGAAACCATATCCATAGCTTAAATATAACTATAACTATAATAATTATAACTATTAATAATTGTAATAATAATTATAATTTAATATAAATTAATTATAAATTATAATGTGAATTATCAGTGGATTTTTGGATGCCAAGTTAATCAAGAGTGGGAATTGGGTGTAGAGGGGGAAGGAGGAGCTAATAAACAAAAATAATTAAGTAAATAAATAAGGGCTCCAAAATAAATAATTAAATAATTAAATAATGAGTGCTTCAGCTTCTGGGAATATGGCAGGACAGCAGAGACCTGTTGCATGCGCAACCTGTACCAAATGGGAATTCTAGGATGCTTTGTGTGCCCTGGGCAACCACGTGTGCAGGAAGTGCCTCTGGGAGCTCAAGCTCAGGGTTTCTGAGCTTGAGGAGAGACTGGTGTCACTATATAGTGCACATGGGAAGCTGAAAGTTTCATGGAACACTTTTCAGGAGGCGGTCACCCCACAGCTACAGAGAGTTCAGGAGGAGAGTGAGTGGGTGACCACCTGTCATTGTAGGACAGGCAGAGCAGAAATCCCTTGGGAGTATAGCATTCACAAACTGGTTTTCTGTGCTGAATACCGGTGAGGGTATGCCTTCTGGGAGGACAGACAAAACCATATCCATGGTGCTGTGGGGCAAATGGTTGGACAGGGGACACAGTGAAATGTAACAATGTAGTTGTCAAAGGAGAATCGATAATTAGGGAATAGACAGGTGTTTTTGCAACTACAGATGTGACTCTCGCATGGTGTGTTGCTTCCCTCGTGCCAGGGTAGAGGATGTCAAGGAACAGGTGCAGAACATTCTGCGGGGAAAAGGGGAACAGACAGAAGTTGTGGTCCATCTTGGAACCAATGACACAGGAAGGAAAAGAGTTGAGATATTTTAGACAGAGTTTCAGGAGTTAGAGAGGAGACTAAAGAGCTCAGAGATAGTATTCTACGGAGTACTCCCGGTGCTACATGCTAGGGAGAATAGGAACAAGAGGAGGGAGGGGGGAGACGGAGGAAGAGGGGATAGAGGATAGAGGATTGGAGGGAGTGGGAAGAGAAAGTGATTGAATGAGAGGAGAGCTTGTGCGTGTGAAAGAGATGAGAAAGGGGGAGTGAGAAAGAGAGTCTGTGTGAGAAGGGGGGAGAGTGAGATTGACAGAGAGGGGGAGAGCGATAGTGATTGAAAGAGGGAGAGACCAAAGAGAGAGAGAGAGATTGTGAGGGGTGGGGAGAGAGAGAATGTGTGTGAGAGAGAGTGATGGAGAGAGGTGGGAGAGAGAGGGTGAGTGAGAGGGGAAAGAGGGAGGGAGAAAAAGAGGGTGAGATTGTAAGGAAGAGGGGGAGAGAAAGAAATAGAAAGAGGGAGGGAGAGACACAGTGAGCAAATGAGCAGAGAGGGAATAATTAAGAGATGTGCTGGAGTGGATGAAGAGAGTGCGTGTGGGAGAGCAGGGGAATGAAAGCATGAAAGGGAGAGGAAGAAATAAGAAGAATGAAAGAGCAGAGAGAGAGAAGTGAGGGCAGTGTTTTGTGGCTCACTGTCAGAACAGACAATCAGAGCTACCCTTGGCCATCGTGGGGGATGAGGACAGACACCAAGGGACAAGCCGTGCAGTTTCCTCACAGAAAACTCCCTCTTTTCCCAATGAGAAACTTCTCCACATCCTTCAATCCACCAACCCTACCTATGTGACTTTCTGACCCTGCCGTTCCCTTTGCCCAGCAAACACCAGCTTGCTTCGTGT